AAAAAAAAAAAAAAGCTGTTTTTATTTAGCTCTCAAAAGGCATTCAGTAATTCTTCACTTTCAGGGTTCACATTTCTCAGAGGGGAAATGCAGCTGTTTGCTTTTCTGATTAAAGGCGCAGAGCAGGATTAGAGCAGCGCGAGGAGCGGGCTGAGCCGGGCAGCAGGAAGCAGGGGCGGCCCCAAGTGCTTCCTGGAAGGGAACGGCGGCCACGGCAGCTGATCCGGGCTGGAGGAGCCGTACGTGGCTCTGGGTACCGTGGGCATACAGAAACTCCCTGTGAGGGTTCGAATATACCGTGCTAAGTGCAGACAGTACAGGAGGATTAGCAGGGCCGTTCAAGGGCCACGTGGGTGAGAGGCAGTGCCGAGCTGTTGGAATTTCCATGGGAAACGGAGCCTCCCCGCGGCTCTTTCCGTGTCGCAAGGGGCCGGTGACGTCGTGGCGAGCAGCCGCCCGCTGGCCTGGCCGCGCTCCTGGCGCACGAAAAGCAGAAGGGGCTGCGGCACCTTTCCCTTCCTGCAAAAGCCTCGGCCCTTTCCCATGCGTGTCTGGACAAGTCTTGGCATTTTTTCTCTAAGCATTTTTGGCCACGTAAGAATCTATTTTCCCTTCTAGTAATTCTCTGTGGATGAGATGGAGTTCAGGCAAACAGCTGTTCTCTGAATAAATGTGTTTTGGGTGGAAAGAGATGCGAAAAGGGGTTTGCAGCCCGTTGCTGGCTGTGTGGGGCAGCTCAGTACAGAAAGGCCGAGCAGGTTCCTCAGGGGCCAGCACATCTGGCAGCAGAACTGTCTGGGGCACAATTTGGCTCACAGAAGTGGACAGCTGCAAACGCAGTGGGGCTTATGACACATAAAAATGGAAAGTACAATTACTTGTAAAAAGCCTTATGATTTTTATAACGCAGTGGTTTGTGTTAACAAGGCACAGCGTGTTCAAGCTCTGCTCCTCCTGCCTCAGGAAAGGTGTGTGTGATTGGGGCAAAGCGGGGACAGGCGGGCAGAATGACACGAAGGGCTGGAGAGGACGGAGGGCGATGAAGCTGTGGAAGGGACGGGGAGCGTGCGGGAGAGCCGCAGAGCGGCCGGGTACTCACAGTCCAGGATGACCTGGGCGGCGCGGTAGAGCTGCAGCGCCTGCAGCAGCTCCAGCAGCTGCTGCACCGTGGCCAGGCGCACGCCCCACCACCAGAGCAGCTCCCGCGTCACGCTCAGCCCCGTCCGCTCCACGCACTTGATCTTCCGCAGCTCCGTCTGGTCGGTGATCACGTAGGAGGCTGGCAGGGAACGCGCACGGCGGTTAAAGTCAGGGATGGAGGAGCAGGTGGGGAGAGCTCGGTGCGAGGCGGGACCGCGCACGGGGGAGGCCCGGTGCCGCGAGCGGGACGCGCTTGGCTGCTCCGCCTCGGGACGCGCTTTACTGCTCCGCGCGGCGAACGGCGGGTTTTGTTACGGGGCGGCCCCGGGGGCACCGCGGCGGAGGCCGCGCGCGGCGGGGCCCGCGAGCGGGGCCGGGGAGCGGGGCAGGCTGTGGGGCCGCGGCCGGGGCCGCGCGGCGGGGCGGCCTCACCGAAGCGCATCCAGTCGGGGTCGCTGAGACAGTCCATCTTGCGGCACAGGTCCTCGAGCACCCAGGCGGGCAGGCTGTGCAGGTACGGGGAGGGCGCGGCGGCGGGCGGCGGGGAGGGCGGCGGGACGCGCCGCACGCTCATCGCCGCCGGGACGAGCCGAACCGGGCCGGGACGAGCCGAACCGGGCCTCTCTGCGACGGGAAGCGGCAGCCGCTCCGCCCCGTCCTGTCCCGCTCCGCCCCGTCCCGCTCAGCCCTATCCTGGCCAGGCCTGTCCCGCTCCGCCCCGTCCCGTCCCGTCTCGTCCCGCCCTGTKCCYGTCCCGTCCCGCCCCGTCCCGYCYCGTCCCGCCCTGTGCCCGTCCCGTCCCGCCCGGAGCGCGGGCGCTTCCCGCTGAAGCGGCCCCGAGGCGGCGGCTCGCGCGGCTCACGGAGGAGCCCGGAGGCGACACGGGGGACGCGGGCGGCTCTTCGCTTGCCGCCCCCCGTGACTTGCCCGCCGTTTGTCCCATCGCTGACTCCAGTCCTCACCGCGCCAGACCGCCAGGCTTTGCTGGGCCGCCGTGCTGCTGAGCCCTCCCTCRAGGGCACGAATCCTTCAGGTCCACTAAAGTTACAATCTCTTGCCCCATTGCACCAAGTAAAAGATGAGAAGTATAATATTATTAATAATATAGGTGCAAGGTTAAAAAGCAACAGGTCCAAACTGTATTGTTATCTAAATGACTCACAATGAAAGTTTTATGATAATAATGGTTAAAATAGTTTTATTTTGATCTCTTTCCCTGTTTACTTTCCTCTCACACATTCCRAAATTCCCTATCACTGAGAGATGAGAAGGGCTTCTGGACTTCTGTAAAATGAGAGAGAAATCAGTGTTGCAAAAAAAAATGTACAAATGCTGGAAATAAGATACTCTTCCCCTTGGGTCCTTGTAGACTCTCTGCCTCATGAGAAAAAAGAGACAAAAAAAGTAAATAGTTCTCCTAAAAATGCCTCCAGCTGTGAGCAGGGCTTCAGCGGGGCACTGGCCCTGTTACGCAACAGGGGACTTTACGGGGAGCTGAACATCACCTTTCCCGCGAGCCGAGAGCTGCACGCGTGGCCGGCCGGGCCGCCCTCCCTGCACGTCCCGCTGCGGCGCTCGGCTCCGCGCCGCCCCGTGCACCGCTCCCGGGGCCGGGACCGCGCCGAACGCGGAGCACGTTTGTCAGGTAGTACAGGCAGCTAGGGCGGCATTTTCACCCATGGGCTGAATCTAACCTGGCTGAGTAACACGGGTGGGAGGCTCCCTTGCTAGGTGCTCATATGGTAGAGCTTACTGGGGTTTTCTCTGGTCTCTTTGACTATAACATAGAGCAGCTTTTGAAAGGAGAAGAAAAAAATACTTTCCTGTGTATGTTGATGATGCCTCTGTAAGTTCGCCATCTTTTCAAAACTTCATGTAAAGTCTGTTTTAAATCAGATTTTATCAATAGAGGTTTGTTTAAAGAGCCCAGCTTCTCACGTTAGCATTTATGGACCCTCTCCGGAAGATAACTCGCCTGATGGAACCGTCTCTCCTATCGGCTACTTCCTTGTTTGTCACTGTCCTTCGCATGGAGTGAATACCAGGCCCAAGTGCTTAGCAGAGGAATGGACAACAAATATTATGCATGACAGAAACGTTATGAGTGATCACATTTGCACTCCCAATGACTGTGTGTACTCAAATTGTTTCTGTGCCAGGATGCCCCTAACTAACGGACACGGAGCGGGTGTTTGGGCTCACCGAACTGTCCATGGCCGGGTCTCATGAGCACTGGCTGCTTCGACTTTGCCCCGCATAAAGAGTGGGAATATTTAACACTCAGCTGTCCCGGTTAAAATGACAGAAGAACCAGCCAGAGCCGTGGGACGCCAGGCCGTGATGGATGGGCTGTGACACCAGGCGTGACTCACGGGGCGGTCACAACGAAACCTGCCACCGCAGGCCAGGCGGGTTGGCGCTTGCAGCCCAGTGGGCAGGGAAGCTGATCTCCTTAAACCTGGCGTGTGTTTCTGTGATAGAAATTAGATGCTACAGGGCCTAACTATGCCACAGCTGACAGTGGAAATGAAGCAGTTTTTTGGATTCCCCTCTTGGAACTCGCATACCTCAATTATTCAAAGAAATGCTGCCTGCGGTTTGGGGTTCAGTGGGAAATGAACAGTCTTTCAAAGAATTAAATGTTTCTCTTCTGAAACATGAACTGGGGGGAAAACAAGGTAGAGAGATCATGCAGGGTCGTTACTGCAGCTTACAGCAATACCCTGTGTGGACAACCTGGACTCCCTGCCTTGCGGGTGTCCTCACCAGTGCCGCTGTCCGTGGCTGGCAGGTCCTCTGTGCTCTTCTGCACGGCTCCCCCTCAGCACCGAGGGGCTCCCTGCAGCCCCTCTCCGTGACTTGCTGCATGGCTGGACCCTGCTCCGCAGCGCCTGCTCCCTGCTGAGCTGGCACCTCTGCTCCAGTGCCTGCTCCCTGCTGAGGCCAACCTGCAAGCGGCGGGAGCAGCGGAGCGCCTCGTGCAGCTGCACAATGCACTGGTGCACTTCAGCACAGGCACCGCGACGGCGGATCAGCGAGAGCCACGGGCAGCCCCGCAGCAACGACGTGCTGAGGGACTAGCACTGCTGCTAGGGGCACTCCAGCAAAACACGTGTACGGCTGCGAGGGCTGGGACAGAACTACAAAAGAGTCCAGAAGTTGGTGCAGATTTACATTTTATGACAATAAAAAAGATCAGTTCACACACTTTATGTTAAGAAAAAGAAATGTACAAGAAGTGGAGACAAGTCATACAAGTCACAAAATGGGTTGATATTGTCAGTCACTGAGTTTCACAGCTGTGTTCTCAGAATGTCTACATGTAATTGGAAAGAAACATATCCCACAAATAACCTGCCATAATCTTGCATCGATCTGCTTTTAACATGGCACAGCATTATATCTCTTATGTGTACACATGGTACACAATCCATACGTCCACTAAAAACAACACTGCTTTGAATTGCACATGTATGTACATGCACACAAGTACACGTGCTCATTAGGAACAACGGGAATGGGATAGTCTCAGAAGAGTTTTTCTGTGCTCATCTGACCTGCCTGAAATAAAGTGTAGCTGGATGTGGGGGCTGGATCTGGCGACAGGCTCGGAGGAGCCGACAGAGGCTCCTGCCTGTCCCTTAGAGGACACCGGCAGCCTAAGTGGCTCGTGCTCCCAGGAAAAGGCTCCCGTTCGGACCCAAATGCCAGACGCTGCCCTGGGGCGGGCAAGAGACAGGTCTCAGGGCATCTACCTGTAGTGCTTGCTGCTCACGCAGCTCCACGGGAGGCCAGGGGAGTGCAGAGGAGACGAGCCCCCACGGGGCTCCATCACCTGAGATAAACCAGAGCGCAATCTGGTGACAAAGGACAAAGAAGGCATTAAAAGCATGGTCCCTCAACCTCAAAGTGTTACTAGGACACGGTTTATATATGCAAAGGCTGTGAAAACCCCAAGCTTTTTCATCTTCCCAAAGACATTAAGTTTTGGGTCAGGCTCTCGGAAGGTTATGCAAGCTCCCACATGCACCCACTGCACTTTCTGAATCACAGGCAAAGTTCGCCTAAGTGGGATAAAGAGGAATTCTACCAAAATCATTTAACCAAAACTGCTGTTATCCTGTCCCTTCATATTGTTAGTGTCTAGACTGAAATAATCCTTGGTCTAATTTACTTTCTAAAACAGCGAAAGTTGATCTCTTTGCATATTCTCTCTACAGGTGACCCTATCTTAAACCAACGTGGCGTGTTCTGAAACAGAGCAAGGTAAAATTCTTCTCTGAGCAACATGCACGCGAGGCCCCCAGAGCCACAGGGCTCGATACGCACAACCCAGAGCAGAACTGGCCCCCGAGAAGCCTGGAGGTTTACACAGAGCGCGGGCTGCTGAGCCTGACCCGCCATCAGGAGCAGTTCTGCGCTCCTCGCCCGAGCGAGCGGCTCTCAGAACACGAAACACAGACCTCGGCTCCTGGCCTGTTTCAGGGTGCTACCCCTGCTGAAACTCAGCGCTTTGCCATTTAGAGAGCCTGGAAGGAATAGCATTAGTTTTATTCTGAGGCTCCGTTCTTTAGCGTTTCGCTTCTCTCCAGGGAAAGCCGCAGAAGATCCTTCTTGATGTCAGGATGATCTTCCAGCTCTTCATAGAGGGATCGGACGATGTCCAGCTTCCTGTAGTCCACCGGTTTGACCAGGCTGCGAACAACCTGGAGGCATCTCTCCTTCAGGGTGAACACTGAGGTGAAACAAGCACAACAAACCACCCTGAGACGGGCGCTGGGTTCCCGCTGGTGCTGAGGCACCGTGTGACACTGAGGTTACTCATCCCAGTGCGGGAACTGGAGAACAAGGCGCAGCAGAGCTGCTCGCCTCGCAGCAGGGCCACCGGCAAGGGGACGCTCTGCTCGCGCACGGAGCTCCCAGAAACCTTGATAAGGAGCGACCCTCCTCCCAGGGGAGCGCCAGGCGGCCCTGCGGGGCTCCCGGTGCGCGGGCGCCGCGGGCTCCGCTCTGCCCGGCCCCGGGCCCGTCCCGCGCGAGCGCGGCCGCGCGCCCCACCTGGCAGCGTGATGTCGGCCTTGCTCACGTCGGGGGCGGCCACGAAGAGCTCCTGCTGGTTCACGAGCAGCCCGTCGTTGGTGCCCGCGTCGCGGAACAGCCACAGGTGACCTGCGCGGGACAGGGGTGAGCGCGCGGCCGCCCGCCGCGCCCCGCTCCGCCCGCCGCGCCGCGCCGCGCACCCACCGCGGTAGCTGTGCATGACGCGGCCCGTGCGCGGCTGCAGCACCGGGTAGTAGCGCGGGCGGCCCTCGAAGTCGAGCCAGACGGGCAGCACGGAGCGCGGGCTGCGGTTGTTGAACATCACCCGCGAGAGCTCGCGCGACGTGGCGGAGCGCAGCGCGCCCGCGCCGCCCGCCTCGCCCAT